CAAATTGTACTCTTCGGACTTCTGTACAATTTGCCGAAGGGTATGTATGTGGTCTATGGTGCTAAAGCCCTTTCGGAAACCGGCTTGTTCGGGAGGCTGGAAGTCGTCAAGTCTGCGCGCGAGACGATTCGTAATGACTCTCGAAAACAGCACGTAGACGCGGCTCAGAAGGGAAATCGGTCTGTAGTTCTTCAAGAGAGCGTTGTCACCTTTCTTGAAGAACAAGACCACCGCACTTCTGCTCCACGCCTCCGGTGTAATGCCACCATGGAGGACGGAATTAAAGAGCTTCTATATAAGTAATAACTTATGCTTTATTATTTTGAGGTTATGAATATGACATTTACGCCGACCCTATGCGTTCGTTAAAGTAGCTAATGGGTAACTTTAGCCAAGGGTGTCCCTAATTAGTTGCATAGTGTCGTCCAACACTCAAGTAACGTTTATGAAACAAAATTTCGTCCACTGTGGGTTAAAGCCTACTGTGCGTACGCATAGTATCGTTCTTGAATACGGGTGTAAGATGAAATGCCTCGTTTCTAGTAAAAAGTATCTCCGGTTCTCTACGCTCATCATACAGTGCGTGGTCCCACTCCGTTCGAGCCGACCCATTCATGCTACAACCATAATATAGCTGCAGCGTGGCTTTACCAAGTTTAAACATGAACATATTATAATATTAAAACGTATTGTGTATGGTTACATGGTTATCCAAGGGGCTTGTTTCAATATGTTGACAACGATTAACTTGTCTCTTTACTATTGTTGTCACAAGCGTCCGGAAGAAGGAAATAAACAGGATTCCGGAGTCGCAAACGTGGACTTATGTTGTCTTACGCTAATAACTGTCTTTAGACGTTTCCTGATGCGTAACTAAGATCACGATACGAGTATGCATATACATATTATCTATACATTTGAATAAAAAGCTGTTGGTAAACATACGATAATCGTAGGTATGATTAAAAAAAATATTATTCATACGCTAAACATATAAATAAAAAATACTTATTCGTCTGATAATTTTAAAAATTGAAAAGTTCAATTATTTCAGTATTATATTTTATATCATTACTAGCTGACCAACAGTCGATTTTTTAATAATTTTTTTAATACTTATTCTACTATTCGGGACACCGGGTCAGCTACTAAGATAAAAAAGAAAAAAGAAAGTTAATAAGTCAACAATTACATTATGTCAAAAAAATAAAAATTATAAAACACTATTGACAAATATTATGTCACTAAATTGTTTTGCCTTCCCGGAACCCCTCCACTAACACTTAAACTTTATGGTATGGTATTAAAGTTCAAATTGACTTTTAAGTATTATTACGAATCTTTTGTATGGGAATATATAAAAGTGTTGTTTTTATACTTTTTCAGGCAATTTTTAAAATTTTTCTCTCCGTAAAAACCATCTTCGTACTTCAAGGAATATTATAAAAAAAGAACTAGCGAAATTGGTTCAGCTGCTCTCGAGATTTGCGCTTAGCAACACATTCAGCGATTCATTTTTATTATATTATAAATAATGTACACTGTACCTACTGTCACTGATATTACAAGATTGGTGTAATGTTTTATTAGAAGTAAATTTTATACGTGGTAGAGCCATACTGCAGCTATATTTCTGGTATAGTTGTAACACGAATGGGTCGGCTCGACCGGGGAAGGACCACGCTCTCACAGAATACCAGCGTAAAATAGCAGCTTAATTAATGCTGCTGTGTTTCGTATGGTGAGTGTAGAGAACCGGAGACCCTTTTTACTGGAAACGAGGCATTCCATCTTAGTCCTCACGGGTGACAACGCATTTGAATTTTGATTCGTAATCGAGGATAAATGTAGATGTCTATGGGCCACAAAAACCACTTACCATCAGGTAGACTGTGTGCTCGTTTGTCACCCTAATCCTGTCAAAAAAATAGCCTAATCTTACATATAAAAAATACTATATTAAAAACATATCGGATGAATAAAAATAAATAGATCATATGATAATCGTATGAATAAGAAAAAAATAATCGTTCCATCATCGTATGAATAGAATAGACACTTCCTAAATAAAATTGAAGTGTCTGTCTGTCTTAAATAATGAGGGTGAGGATTTGCATGCCATTAACACATGAACAACCATTTTTTTTAAATGTTTACTTATTTTTGTGTCTATCTATTTGGTCTAGTCTTTGGAAGAGCTGAACTAATTGTAATGAAACTTTACGAACAGAGATCAATGGCAAGTGGCAAAATAAGCTATATTTTATGAGAAAAACTTCTCGAAAAAACGTATAAAAATATATAAAATTAATGGTGTTTGATTATCTTAAATTTAAATGACGTAACATTAGTAAATCATACCCACACGAAGCCGGTGTGGGTTGCTAGTTTCATATATATAATATTAATAAGTTCAACAATCGTTTATCTTTCTGACAATGTGTTTTTTATATCATTTATATGTATAATATGATTGCTAGATACGACTTCATGCGACAAAACGTTGGAATCTTAATTTTTAGGCCCTAACAAAACGTACCTGCGCGCTTCGCGCTTAAGGCATGCTATATCACTATTTGTTAAAAATACTATATATTAGAATACTTAAAATATATGTAAAATTAATAAAATAACTTACGACAGTCTGATACGGAGAAACGGTCAATTAGTAGTTCCGACTCCCGGTCCTTGCAATAAGCGGTAATGTCGTGAGAACTGGAACCCGTGCTCGTGCATTAAATCGAGGCGCCGGTGACTCAACCATGATAAACTTTCCCCGGGTCTCATTAATCATTAACCACTCAAAGAAACGGAAACTATCGACACTTGAATACCTTACTGTTGGTCTTGTAAATTAATGGTTTATTCTTTGTGATCTTATAACTGCTATTGCTATAAATATCATTTCGCATAACGTTCATTATACTAAAATCATCTACTTAATAACGGCCCTTCACAAGTCCTCAACTGTAGGTTTTACGTTGTAAAGCCGCTGTACAACTTTATTATGATTGTAGCACGAATAGGTTGTCTGGACCGAAGAAAGACCACGCTTTCTACCATTTACACTGGTATTCAGTGAGAGCGTGCATGGTCCCTTCCCGTGCTACAACCATAATATAACTGCATCATGACTCTACCACGCCAGAACTCTATTAGACGCTTTACTAAATTAAGGTCTCTACAGTTACGTTGAAAAAATTAGAATTAGAATATTAGAAGGTAATAATTAAGTCGGCAAAAAACTTAACAGCGAACCGAATACAAGTGGCCGTCAATATAGTAACAAATCTAAGTACAAATCAACCATCCGACACAAGGAATTGCAAATTAGCGCAAACAATGCTTGACGTCGATGGATTACGTCGTTTGAGTTATAAATTATACTGGCCTCATCTACAAGTCCAATAAATACGTATTGTTACAATATTGCTTTAGCAGTTTATGTTCGCTTTACAATAAAGTAAACATAATGTGTAATTGTTGTCGCCGTTATAGTGTTGAACATAAACGTCCCCCGTAGATTGCCTCATAGTTGCCACGCTTGGCAAGCTGGTTGGCAACCGCAGTTTTTATTTTTAATTTGAGTCGCCTCTTACGACACCCACGGGATGATATGGGGTAGTGGATATTCTTACACCGCCACTACACGGTAAATGAATTGTTGTTTATTGAATCTTTTTTTTCTTACTACAATGTATATAGAAACTGTTTGCTCGGTTACTAAAATTTAAATTACTTTGTTGACCGTTGGCTAATTATTATACCCTAGTAAAAGCGTCATTTTTATGTTTTTTTTTTTACTATTATTATGTGTCGTTTTTTTATTAATTACTGTACGTAGTAGAGCAACGCTACAGCTTAATTATGTTTGTAGCACGAGTTGGCCGGCTTGACCGGGGATGAATCTCCCTTTCACAGAATACCGACGTAAAATAGCAGCTTAATGCTGTCTTTTTTCGTGTGGTGAGTGTAGAGATCCGGAACCCTTTCCTCTGAAAACGAGGCTTTCCGTCTAGGTGGTAGCTTGTAGAAGTCTATAGGTCACAGTATCCATATACCATGTGGTGTGATCGTATGTCACCTTTATTCTATAAAATGATATTATTATTCATCATAATGGGTGACTTTATGACCGCTTAAGATGAGCGTTCTTGCCTGAGTAAATACCAAGAACTATGAGAGCGAAGCATCCGAACAAAAAGTCTGATATTTTTGTGGGTGTCAGTCACATTTCGTAATTTGTTCCACCCACAGGTTACTGACATTTTTGTTCATGTCGACCACACACAATATGGCTAGTCTCAAAAATGGGAAAGTTTTATATTAGGGACCCGCCCCGACTTTGCCGGAATAGGATCATTTCGGATAAAATACAACGTAGATCTATCATGGTATTGCTTTCCATATGTTCTTAAAGTTTCATTCCGAAGATTAGACTGGACCGATTATGGCCCGGAGTGATTGACCTTTTCTGTCAACGTAAGTTTACGTGGAAGAGCCACGTTGCGACTATATTACGAGTATTATTGTAGCAGGAATGGGTCGGCTTGGCCGGGGTAGGACCTCGCTCTCACAGAATACCAGCGTAAAATAACAGCTTAGTGCTGCTATGTTTCTCACTTACCATACGGTGGTGACAAAAGGATCTCCGGTTCTCTAAGAGAAGAGAACCGGAGATCCTTTTGCTGGAAATGAAGCATTCGTATTCCTCAAAGGTGACAACGCATTTGCATTTTGATTCTTAATCGAAGATAAATGTAGACGTTTATGGGCCACAGCATCCACTTATAACCACGCCACGAGGTGGCCAGTGTGTGCGTTTATCACCCCATTCTTTATAAAAAAATCCGGTATATAGTTTTTATATATTTCAACTTTAAAGTTGTCTCTTACGACATCGACGGCATGACTTGGGGATGATTGGTTCTCTGACGGCGCCACCACATTATGATTTGTAGCACAGAATGTGTTTTAAAACAATTTAATTTCTTTTTTAGAACGGTCTCCTGTCTTCTCTACCATACCTGGGCAAGTACCTGTGTGCGCTCGCGTCTTCAGTACTTGCCGACTCGTTGCGACGTAGCGGCCGCCTCTCCACCACGGCCGCAAGGAAACTGTTCACTGGATTTGCTGTTGGCTTGCCTGGTAAGTTATATGGTGTATTAGTTATCGATGGTAAACAGATGTGTCTAAAATTGAAACGTGTATAGCTGCAGCATGGCTCTACCACGTATATTTGTGTACGTGGTAGAGCCATCCTGCAGCTATATTAGTAGTATAGTTGGCACAAATGGGTCGGCTCGACCAGGGAAGGACCACGCTCTCATAGAATACCAGCCTAAAATAGCAGCTTGACACTACTGTGTTTCGTAAGGTGAATGAAGAGAACCGGAGACTTATTTTACTGGAAAAGAGGCATATTCCATCTTAGACCTCACGGGTGACGACGCATCTGCATTTTGATACTTTATTGAGGATAAATGTAGATGTCTATAGGTCACCGCAACCACTTACCATCAGGTGGACTGTGTGCTCGTTTGTCACCCTATCCAATAAAAAAAAAATTGAATGAATTTTGGATTTACTTAGGATCCTTTAGTTAATAAAATATTATCATAGAATATGATCTTTATTTTATTAATCGAAAAGAAGTAGACCCGTTAGTGGTTAGGGTCTGTTTCTTTTCAATTTTGACTAAGAATATTATATTATTGACCTTTAAATTATGACAAGAGAGGATACTTGCGGAGGTATTTTCGCTCTTCCTTCTCTGGACAGGGGTACCTCATTTTAAAACAGTAGTAAACTAAAAAAAAACATCTCGACGTTTGATAAACCATATTTTAATTCCATATAACGAAGGAGTTTTCATTTAACTTTATTTATTAAATTCAAACTCAATCGTAGAACTGCAAGACTAGTTAATGTAAACTTATTCTACTTACGTAGAATGTATCAAAATTAATAATTTAAAACTAAAAATTAATTAACATTGACATGCAGTGCGTATGTGTAATATTTCTAGTGCATGCATGCATGTCTCATGGCTGCAGCATGACTACTACACAAAAAAAAAAAACTTTTTAAAAATTGTAACCCTTACATAGATATCCTGAAATTTATAATTCTTCAATAGTAGGTAGTTCAAGTTTGTTTAATATTACTGTTTCGTTGGCAGGTATCCTTATGGTGGTACAAGCGTTCCTGGGCCACGACAGGGTGTGGTCGATAGCCATATTCACGTTGGCGCTCACCATCAACGGCGCCGTCACCGCCGGGTACCTCGGCAACGGGCTTGATATTGCGCCGAACTTCAGTGGTGAGTGGAAACAAAGTGTTGCCGTACGATGGAGGCTTATGAGAATCCATCACATTTCGTACCGTGGGTGTCGAGTAAGAGACGACTATGGGAAATAAAACATAAAATACGTTGTATAATAATTTATACTTTGTAGAGCCATGCTGCAGCTATATTATGGTTATAGCACGAATAGGTCGGCTCGACCGAGGGAGGACCGCGCTCTCACAGAATACCAGCGTAAAATAGAAGCTCAATGCTGCTGTGTTTCGTATGGTGAGTGTGGAGAACCGGATACCCTTTTTACTAACAGCGAAACATTCTATTTTAGTCCTCAGGGGTGACAATGCATCTATCTGATATTTATAAGATCTTTCTGACATTTCTTTTTCTATAGAATAAGGGTGGCAAATGAGCTCACAGTCTACATGATATAAGTGAATCCTGTGGTGCATAGACAACTACGTCTATGTTCGTTTAAGAATAAATATGCAGATACTTTGTCATCTGTGAGGGCTACGATGGAATGCCTCGCGTCCAGAAAAAGAGACTCTCCATTAATCTAAAGAATATTAAGGCAATCTGAAGCTACGCTGCAGATGATGCTGTAGCGCGAAGGGCGGCTAAAGCGCAAAAAAAAAATACAGAATATCACAGACTGTAACCTTTATTTCTTTACTTTTAAATGACGTTACCTCTACTAGGTACACCTTACATACATAAAATGCTCAAGGTCAAACATCCAGACCAGCGACAATTATTTACAGACATAACAGATTAGAATCCACGGCCCTAAGCGCCGCAACTCAATGATAAGCCATTGTGTCATGGAACCGCCCGTTTACATATTATATGATACTTTTGGTGTTTCAGACGCGTTATTTTGGTAATAATCTATAATTTTGCGTTATAGGTACAATCTTTGGTATGGCGAACACGCTGTCCTCCTTCGGCGGTTGGCTCTCCACCTTCATGGTCGGAGAACTCACCAAAGTACATGTAAGTGGCACTTTATATGTGTACTGTTTTATAAAATATTTTGACAATCTAAATCCAAACAAAAAATGGTGCATGTCACTTCCGATACTCAACTAGATGACGTTGTGGGACCATTTTGAAATAATTATGTATTCAAAATGTTGTGTTGTTTTGTACACATCTTATCACCAAATCAAAAAATCGCGATCCACTCAATTTACTTCCACCAGCTTTATATTGCACTTATATAATAAAAAACCGGCCAAGTGCGAGTCGGACTCGCGCACCGAGGGTTCCGAACAATTCCGTAGGTATATGTTTAAAATTATTAAAAATACTCGTATATGATGTAATTAAAAATTTATACTTTTCGAAATTTTTCCTTTATCTGTGGTATAAAACGTTGCTCCTTAGTTCACGGGAAGTACCCTGTAGGTTTTGATTCCCTTGCGAATGTCGAAAATTTGCGGCATAAACGGCTGTATCTTTTGATTGCGTTGGCTTAGAAGTTTGATATCACAGTTCCAAGGGACAGTAGACTTGAGTATTTGATATGAATTTCAGCTTGATACCTCCACGCGTTCCTGAGAAAAGGGGTCTTGATAGACAGACAGACAGACGGACAACAAAGTGATCCTATAAGGGTTCCGTTTTTTTCCTTTTGAGGTACGGAACCCTAAAAAGTACACCAATAGCGAGAGGGGATGTCAATTAATACTCCTAACGTGGTTGTAAGGTTATTTATTTCGAATATTATTAAAAAAAGTTAATTAAAAATAATTTCACTTGGACGTCAGTTGGACGATATGGATATGAACAAGATATCTTTCGAAAAACTGAACTTATCACTTTGATTTTTTTTATTAGCTTCAGATTTCCTTAGGAAGCATTTTGAATTTCACTATTGTTAACCGTCCCGTTCATTAATATATTTTTTTCTTACACATTAATAACTCTTTGTGTTTAAACAAATAAAAAAATGTGCATGTAATTGTGAACACACGTACGAAGTAAAACTTCTTGACGACATATCATTCTTCTTTTATTAAATATTTTACATAAGTAGGTTAAATAATATTATACTCATGCAGCATGCATACAAGAAATTATGACGTTTATTATTTAATACCGTACTAAATTTCACCAGTACGTCGATAAAAAAGTTTCACTACAAAAATTGACTTGTTCCGTACAATTTGCGCGAATATGTTGCGCGGAGGGGCAACATGACTTCACTTTTTGTTGACACTCTAATTCGCTGCCCGTCTAATTTGTGTACAAATGCTATATATATATATACATTGAGATATAATGTACTACGTACTAGAGAAGACGCCTCAACTTGATTGTTTGTAACACGAGTTAGAGTGCGCGCTCTCAAACTCACTTAGTCTGTGTCAAGCGGTTGTTGCAACGTGAGAAGTTAGAGTGAAGAATTATTTTTAAATTAATATGCCTATCGTGTGCATTGAGATACTGTTCAAACTACTCGAGAAATATAAGGAAAAGTCAATGAGTGAATTTTCACCAGTAATTTAAACTTATTATTATCTTTAAAACACGCTTAATTTAATTATATTTTATCAACTGCAACGTATACGTGAATGTCAAAGAGTAAAACATTTTTATGCGCAGACTTGACACTATCGACGTATAATGTTAAGTAATTATGAACAGTAAAATATTAATATATAATCACTGTAGGAAATGTTAATGCATTAAAATTAATATTTTTTATTATTATTTTTATTAATGGTTTCCCCGACTGTGTCATGAAACAAAATAATCATGGATCAAATTTGTTCAGAAGAATTGCAGTAAAGAAACGTCAGATTATTAACGCATATTTTCCGTGCAGTTCAAAAAAAATTACAAATACACCGCATAAACAGGAAGTGTGTACCGCAAGAAATAAGCAGTACCATGCGACAATGTAATTATATAATTATATAACATTGCTGGGATTTTTGTTTTATTTTTTTATTCGACGACTAACGAATGTTTTGTAATGTTCAGTATATTTACGGAACTTAAGAGAGGCGGAAACCTCGGCGCGCGGGTCATTCTATGACGGTTTTTTAATACTGTAACACTAGAATTTTTGCAGGCTTCCCAAATAATTAGTATCTTTTTTTCAGCCAACAAAATGTGGCGAACAGGAAGTATCAGAACCGTTGTCAGAATCAATAAGCAGTACAAATTCAATTTTAGATAGTCCGAGCAAAATTGTACTTAAAAATAAATTACGCAAGTGATGTCTCCTAAGCTAAGTTTGAGTGATGTATACGAAGCCTAAGCTTTTAAATATAGTTCTACCTTAATAACGGAATCAATAATTCTAGGTTATTATAAAAAGAATAAAATATAAGCAATAAAATATAAGTAATATTGTGTTTGTATTTAATAGCAAGGAATCTGCAGCTAAAAAGAAACTTACTGAGAAATTTAAGACAAAATATTTATCTAAAGAAAAAATGTGCAATTGATTTGTAAGAAACAAATCAATTGTAGAAAATTTGAAACATAAATTCGGTCTGAACTTAAATGCTGAGATTGATTTAATGGGTAAAGCAGAAGTTATGGAGTAACATAAATCTTTAACGAAAAAGAATAAACAGAGCACGCATTATAAATTATACACTGCATGCACCTTTACATAAATTCGCATTGATTTTACACTATTATTCACCAGCTGCGTATAAATACGTTAGAGATTGCTAGAAAAGTAATAATAATGATCTTTGAAAATAAATGCATAATATTTTTATATATTACATATTTACCTTTTAAAGTATTAAATAAAATATAATTAAAATGTAATTCTGACATAATATTATGTTACATTATATTAACACATTATGCAATATAAATAACAATTTAAAAAATTGTACTCGATACAATTTACAATACAATCTAAATAAACATTTACTTATTACATACTAATCATTCTACCTACGTACATAATCTATGATGACAAAAACCGCGCATGCGTGACTGTACTATTACCGCGCATGCGCGAAGCTATAGAGTAGTGCACAGTTTTTGTTCGGAATAGCTTCTCTAGTACATTATATCTCAATGTATATATATATATATATATATATATATATATATATATATATATATATATATGAAAATTCGATTCTTTTGGCGTAAATTCCAGTAAACTCCTATATTTTCTACATAATTCAATAGCTTCTAAAGTTGGAGCCTAAATTCTTCGATACACTATATCCTAATTTCAACATAACCTCAAAGTAACAACTAAAATGTCGTCCAAATTGTTTATATAAAAAACTTGATCCCCTATTTTAGTCTATTTAATTTAAAAAAAATCTTTAAAATCGATTTTCAAATGGTGAAGATACCGCATAAAATATACATACAAAACAAAAATACAACAATTGTTATAACTTTAAACAAAAAGTAAAAACCGACTTCAAATTGCTAAAAAAGAAATTATTTATTTGCTACCCTTAGGGGTGAAAGTATTTCATCAAATTTATATGGGACCAGCCTTGAATTATGATTCTATTTCATTAACCTATTTAATAAAAAAAGAATCATCAAACTTCATTCACAATCTGCGGAGATATCGCGTAACATACATACAAAAAAAAACACACACTCGAAATGAGTACCTCCTTTAATAAAAGAAGTCGGTTAAATAAGGCGCCGCAAAGCGAGCCGGACTAGTACTCTCCTTGAATACTATGACGATTCTAAAACGTTATTAAAATTATTACAGAATACGTACGAGCAATGGCAGATAGTCTTCTATATCCTGGCCGGCACCTACGTGTTCGGGGCTCTGTGCTTCGTCTGTTTCGGATCCGGGGAGCTTCAGCCCTGGAACTCGCCGAAGGCGGCCGTACCAAACCAAAAGCAAGAGGAGCAACCCCTCAACGAAGAGAAGGCGTGAATATACAGCGAGAAGAAAAAAGTGCCTTACGTCTCGACAAATGATTGCAGGCTGATGGTTTCCTTCAAGTCTAGTAAAATGTAGAAAATATAAAAATCGAATTTCGAGATTTGACAGCTAGTTCTAGTTAAAAATTGTACTGACAGCGTATTTAGGTCCTGTAGACATTACATGCACCGATGTCATATTAGGAAAATATTACGTTTTAGCTTTTGTAATGTGTTGCCATTGTCAATTATTGTGATTTATTAATATTTCACATAATTCGTGTTGTTTTGGTTAATTCTAGATTTCATTCGTTTATAAATATATATTTTTTAAATAATTTTCGTAGATATCACCAAATGAATTGGATAATCGATCGTATTTAGTTTTTTTTTTTATTATTTGTATATTCATCTGAATAATGAAAACCACTCGCAAAAAGACGGCACAACTTGGGAATTTCACTACCCTTTAGGGGGTAATCATAACAAACATACCACTCAATCGCGGCCCGCGACCAGTTCTAAAGATTTGAATGATTTATTTATGCAACAAAGTTGAATAAATGCTGAAGCTAAGCTATATACGCGTTTTAAAATTGCCCGCCTCTTCGGTCATGCAAAAATATTTTTATTACTTCTTTTCGTGTGAATTTCTATTGAGCCTGGCCCGCTAGAATACATGTAGGGTGCTACACCCTTATAATAAAAAAGCCTACTGACCAGTTCGAACCGAACTTGCTAATTATTCCGAGGCTCGGTCTCCATATCTTCTGTTCAGTTATTTTCGTAGTGATACATTTATAGAGTTATAAATAAATCTCGTGTTTATAAGTTTACTTTTGAAAAAAAGTTGCTGTTTTTCGAACACTCGAAATACATAATTTCATATTATGTTTGAATGTTTGGAATAGCCTAATAACTCGTATTATTATCTCATCATAATTACCAAGTCGTGCCGTCTCCTTAACATTAAAAACATCAATGTCGCCTATAACTATTTCATTTACTTTAGAGAGAAATACTTTGTATTAAATTAAAAAAAACAATTTTATGTCATTTGCAAAAAATGCTACATAAAATGGCTTTGCAAATAATATAAAGACAAGGAATATACTTACATTTTCAGATTTTTGTGAACTGTCTACGAGTATTATTAATGTCACCCTTTATTTCCCACAGTAACTCGGTATGTATACATATTATGCAATTCTCTATCATTATGCAACTGGTAAAATATTTTTTTTTGGAATAGCCAAAACAAACTAAAAGACTGTTTGCTAAGTTGTTTGCACTCTTATGAAAATCGTAGATAATGTATGAAATAAAGATTCATAAATATCTGATTTAATCTTTAAATAATTGAAAGCGCTTAATTTATAAAGCTATATTATGATTGTTATATTATAACAATAATGAACTGATATTCTTGTAAATTGATACTTTGTATTCATTATTTAATAAAATCTATACAGAATTTATAGAAATATCCTTTAAGGACGCTAAAGTATAAATATAGATTTAGAGCAAGACTAGTGATATAGAAGCTATAAAAAAAATATGAAAAAATAAAATAAAAAGGCTGTTAATTGTGATCTATTTATGTAACGTACCGGCTCGCGCAATGGACTCACGATTGTTGCAATCGAATTATTACGAGCTTGGTGCATGTTGGCGTGAAAAAAATAACGAATGAGTAGAGTATAAAAAAGAACCAGTGAAATTCATTCTATTGACTTCGAAATTGAAAGGAGAATACTTAGACCCTTTTTGTTAAATGATAGAGAGAATATTATTACTCAATTCAAATGAATATATTTAAATGCTGGCAACACCATATTCTCGGATGTTAGATTGTTGATTTACCAGAATTTTTATTTACCGATAGAGTAACTACATAAATATACTTGCAGTTAGTTATATAAGTAGTATCAATTAATACTAAACTTTATTTTAGTCGAGTGTCAATAAACAAATGTTGTTTATTCTTATATTTTTCACGCCAATGTTGCAAGAAACCCGACTCAGTTGTTGAAACGATTTTAGATTTTAAGTATCAAGAAGTCGCATCGAGTAGTTTGTGAGTCCTCGTCTCGATACTATTTTATAGTATGTATGGTTAGAATAAGTATGACACCAATAATACAAGTTTAAACATCAATTCTTGTCATGTTAGTGCCTACTACACTAATTTTGGCAATGTATCAGTAATAAATACTATAAGTATAATAAAATACAAAAAAAACGTTTAGTTACAAAAATAATATTATGATTCGAAATAATTCCGAGGGACCAAAGCAGAGGGACAACAATCTACTTCGATTTCTTGAGTTTATACGATAAGTATTGCTCGATAGGTATCAATTATTTATTGTTCTATATCGCGTGTTTAGGAAAATTCGCAGCCATTCTAGTTAACCAGTATAAAAGTGTCCGCGGCCCTTAGATTTTGTAGTATTAAAAAATATTTTACAATACTACATTTTCAAAAGACGATACGCTGACATTCGACCATAGACAAGTCTCGTAACATTTTACCGTAAGACATAGATATTAAGATTAAGCCATGTTCACACTTGGCTTTATTACAAGGGACAATGCATTGTTATATTGTGCATTTCTGCAGCTGTGATAAAGAGGTTTGTCTATGGCCAATGCTAAGCTTCTCTTTTTGTTTCGGAACATATTACTTATAATCTCTGTGAAAAAAAATTTTGCTTGAAATTTAAAGATATTAGGTCTCTCTAACTACGTAAAAATTGTGCTAACGTGGAATTATATGTCTCACAATAAAGTATACTAATGAGGGCTAATAATTTTCCACTCACCAGATGTCGCTAGTCGTGACTGAGGTAAAGTTTTTTGTTACACTGTGTCAGTTGATTGAGAAATTAATTTTAAATAATAGCTTATCATTATCTAGAGTATTATATTAATAGATAACACAATGTGTCAGTGGTTTTATTTTTACATTTTCGCACTTTATAACTTTTTTTTAATTTCTCTACTCCTATGAATATCTGTGGCTTGGTTTATTAATTTCTAATCTAATTAATATAAAATATAACAAATAATACGGAAAGAGTCATTAATGTTAACATTTTCCTAAGAAATTATCGTCCCCGCTATGAAATCTGTTTAATATTTTACCTCATTGTAAAGTGGCGCCGCCCTGGCGGTAGAAAGTCGTGGATGCCCTCATTAGGATGTTATTGGAATGATAATATGTTCTAAACATTTTAGCGCTCTAAAATTTAGCACGTTTGGAATGTTTTAAATCTTCAAATGGCTACCAAGAAGTTCCTAAATTACGGTAGGTATTTCCTAACTGGTTTGTATTAATTATTGTTCTTTACAATCGATCTTCCACTATCCAGCGTAAACATCACCAACAAGGTAAATAAAGCTTGTCTGTGGAGGAATTTGGAAAAGTATTTATATATTTTAAGTTTAACTAATTGCAGTGCTTTTGTTCACATTATACATAAGAAAATCATGTTACATTTCATGTACACAATATGCGATTTTAAACGTTAAAAGTTTGATATAATATTGGATTTTTTAATAATATTATTTATATACTATTATATAAATATATATTATGTGGTTTATATGTATTTTTTTAAGTTTTAGCACTAAATTTATTTAAACATAGTTTTCTGCATATTTTGTCGATTTTAAGAAATATTAAAACTTCGTGACTATATTTTATATTACTTATGTATCGAATTCCTTTTTTTGGTTAATGAACAAAAGGTTGCTTTTAATAGGATATAATTTTGTATTAAAAAGTAAATATGGTGCATAAATGTGAGTTTGATTATTTAGTAAAAGAGTGTTTGGTTGGTAGTCATATAAAGTGAAATAAACGAGAAAAAATACATTCTGGAATTTAAACTTGTTCTAGAATACATTTATATTGATACACTAAATATTTTTATACATAAAACCTTATTCATTGCTAAATGGTACTTTAAGTATTTCTTTCGGATTTGATTAATTTAAATAAAAATTTGAAACGGTTTTATTAAAAACGGCATCAAGAATTTTGTATTTAAATTTTTATAGAGCAATTTCTTACTCGAGTGCTCTAGCGTGTGTGAATGCACAAACCACTATGTATTTCATGTAATCTTAATAATGCATGTAGCTATAAGTTAATACAATTTGTTATTATGTCTCCGTGACTACACTTTGTGAACCTTTTTTTTTTTAAATAAAGTTTTCAAAAATATATCTGTTGATTTATTGTCCGTGAAACCTAACATTTAAAAAAAAAACAAACGAGTTCAGAATACTTTCAAATAAAATATATTTTTAAAGATATTTTTGTAAAAATAGTGAAAAATATAAAATTACAAAAAGAGACTGCACTGCCCGGGAATCGAACCCGGGTCGCAAGAATGGGAATCTTGCATGATACCACTACACCAGCAGTGCTCGTACCTTATCTTCTAAATTAAGGTATATAAATTGTATACTTAAAAAGTATATTGATTGTATATTATAATATAACTTAAAAAGTAAAGTTGCTACATTCTGGTCATACTTGGAACTCTGTTATCATAAGTATAATTTACTACGTTTATTAATCACAGATCACTCAATAACTATTGCAATATTACCGGGGATCAAATTCGTATACCTCGCGTACTATGAATTATATAATGAGCGTTCTATACCTCTCTTGAGGTTGTTTGCTATGCTGGGAGTTTATAGTAGTAATGATTCCAGAGTAAATATTATATTCTTTTTAAACATATTATAATAATAATAAATGTTTTTATTGACATATAGATTTAACAAATGTAAGAACAGTGTGTTAAACATCTAAACAATGTTCAAGACAAGATAAACAAATATTTTCCATTGGACCCCAAACTAGGACAATCCTGTATCTTGGGGTCCGGAATTATAAATGAATAATATATTTTTAATATTTAATACAGTAACGGTCTACTGTTTGTAATAAGCATATGTAGTAGAGGTTCGGAGACACCGATCGGAGTACCAAAC